CCTCCATATGCAACAAAAAAGAGGGCTGAATATGTTTGATTGAAAGGTCTGGTCAGGCAAGAATATCTGTTTGTCACTGTCATTTCTATCCCATCTTTTATTTATAATGACATACGGATACAAGCTGCTGCTTGTTGGGCATAACAACATATTATGCCCATATTGCCCTGGAAGCTTAGGGTATGACTATACTCAATAAAAGACACACGGCATGACATAGATGTGACTGGTCCAGGTCAGCTGACTTGAGCTTGCAGGCCTCGGGTACTTGGGCTATAAAATTGCAGCTTAGATGTTTGCACTCGGGCTGGAGCCAGGGCTCTGAGACTCTGTAAGGGGGGTTGGATCTCAGAGCCTGGGCTCCAGTCCAAGCTCAAATGTCTACACTGCACTTTTATAGCCCCACAGTGCAAGCTTGAGTCAGCTGATCCAGATTCTGAGAATTGGTGCCGTGTTTTTTATTATGGTGTAGATATATCCTTAGTGTCTACATAGACAGACAGCACTTTGGTTTTTAAGGTCTTTTCTAAGCAACACTCAAGCAGTGAGTTTTATCTGCCTCGTCAGGCAGCAGGGCAGTGGAGGAGGAATTAGAAGACCTGTGTTCTATCTCCAGCTCTGCTACTTGCTGTGTGAACTTGGGAAAATTATATAAGCTCTCTGCGCCTATACCAGCCATCTGTAAAATGGTGTTATGTTAATGTTACTCACCTCTGTAAGGAACTGAGATCTGCAAATAAAAAATGCAAAGCAGTATCATCTTTTTGAAGTTCCTATGTGCAAGTCTGAGTAACATAGCGATAATTTCCTTTTAAATTGCACAAAATATGTGGGAAGAGAATTATATCTCCTCTGATTTACCAAATACTTTTAAAATTTCTGAATTCCAACATAAAGTGAGCAGTGATTTAACAAAAGTAAAGGTATTCATAACCTCTGGCTCTTGCTCTTACCAGCAGACAAAGGGTGCATAGATTATATGCTTTGTAAAGAAAACCTCCACATTACATAAAAACACAAACATCCACAGAAAAATCTAATACATTCCCATAGAACATCACCTCTCTTTTTTCTTAATAAATGGTCTAACTCTGAATGTTAAAGACAGCCAAGATTACATTCAGTCGGAAGTAAAAATGAATACATAGATCTAAGAGGATACTAACAATTCCTATTTCAACTCCACTGAATACAAATCACTCATAATTTATTATATTTCTCATTCTTACTCTACATAAGGTGCACGCCCCAGCTGCTTGTGATTGTAAAACAAATACAAAATTGTATTATGAGCTACCTGACAGCAGCAGGTGGAAAGGAGTCTGAAATCCATATGAATGCACTATAGAGTGGGAACCAGAGCTAAAAATATTTTTCTCTTGGGTACTGGAGTGAGTAATATCTGTTAAATCTAAAACTTCATGCTCTGGAAAAAATAACCTCCACACTTTGTGTCAGTCTAAATATCCATTTTTGAGCCAGTGGTATAGACATTTGTACCTGTTCTTTTATCTTTTTGTGTCACCAAAGATAGTTTTTTCATAAAAAGGGGAGGCAGGGAGAGAGTTTCAGTCGTATATAAAATATTTTAGCTACAGGAGGTGATGACTTCTGACTGCCAAAAATTCTTACCATTCTAATTTAAGTGATTTAGGAGCACACATTCCATTAATTTTGGAGCTTGTGCACCTAAGTCACTTATATGCTTTTGAAAATTCCACCCCAGCAAGGATGTGTAACTACATGGAGGAGAAAACATTTGTTTCCACCTCTTTTGTCTTTAGTATTATAAGAATTCTCCTTCCACCGGGCAGTGGAATGCGGTAATTTATCTTCTGAAACACCAGGTTTCTCCTCCCTTGATTGAATTAGGAAGGTCCATCCCCTGACTGAGTTAGGAAGGTCCAATCACCTAGAGATTGAGCGTCCCAAGAGGATGTAAATGTAGTTGGCACTCGACTCTTTTGTTTGGGGAGGCTTACACAAGCGCTGGAAGCTCCCTAGAAAGGGGGGCCAGCAGTGGCTGGACCATGGCCCTTCCCCCTGAGGTCCCACCCTCACTCTGCCTCTTCCCACCCCCGCTCTTCCTCTTTCCCCAAGGCCCTGTCCCATCCACTGCTCACTCCTTTCTGCCACTGGGGTGAAGAGGTCGAGCAGGAGTGGGGCCTCAGGGCAGAGCACAGGCGGAGCGTGTGCAGGGTCACAGCACTGGTGCTGGTGGCCCCCTACATTTCTAAGGAGCTTCTGGTGGCAGTGCTCCAAAGGCAGTGGGGCAGCACACCTCCAAAGGGAGATGAGCCAGGGCCGCATACAGAATTTTTCCCCTTGCAGGGCCACTGTTTTGGTGGGATGCTAAGCCTTCCCAACCCTCTTATACACACTGCCCATGGGTGTAAATGAACAGAATTTCTCACAGGAGGGAGAGAATTGACTAGAAGTAATCCAGTAATGCCTAATTGGAGCTATTCAAATCATGAGAATTCTCCTGTCGACCTAACTACCGCCTCTCAGAGAGGTGGATTACCGACACCAACTGGAGAATCCCCTCCTGTATGCACAGGTAGTGTCTTAACTTATGTGCAATAGCAACACAGGTGCACCTCTGCAGTGTTTTAGGTGTAGACAAGCCTGCAGTTATATAGAATGTTCTTTCTTTTACTTTTCCTAGTCATGCTAAAATGCAACTGTAAGCTAGTCAGCATTTTCACTAGCCAGGGAAGGGAAATAAAGCTTCAGGCACTAGTCTCTTAAGGCCCTTTCTTTGGGACTTTTTTTATTGCCCACACAACAATTGCAACATGAAAAGAAATCAACTGAAAAATATTGATCAATAATTCCCAGAGGCTTTCCCTACTCTAACCGGCCATGAGGGGAACTTTCTTCTTAGTTCTTCTTTGATTCAGCTTTCCCTTCCTTTTATACTCTGCCTTGAGCAGGCATCTGACAGCCTGTTAACCCTTTATCTTGTCGCAGCAGTCCAGCCCCAGTACTATAAATATTGAATAACAAATCTAAACATAAAGTAGACCCTTTCCTTACCTGTTAACATATTAGCAACCTAGGGCACTGGACCAAGATGCAGGAGCTCTGAGTTCTATTCCCAGCTCTTCCACTGGTCTGTTGGGTGACCTTGGGCAAATCACTTCTCCTCCCGCTGCCTCAGTTTCCTCATCTGTAAAATGGGGATGATATCTCCTTGGTAAAGTACTTTGATATCTGCTGATGAAAAGAGCTGTATATGAGCTGTTATTTATTACAAATGCCTACAATGACCCCACATATACACACTATTCTTGGGTAACAAGACCTTCTGTGAAAATTATCAAACAATAATTAAAACCTGTGAAACACCAACATTTCCCAGCTACCTACAGTAGAGTACACCGTCAGTAACGCTCAGAAATGCATACACACACACACACACACACAGAGAGTGGAGAGAGAGAGAGAGAGCTGATATTTGCTAGGCAGGTTGAAGGTAAAATATTCCCCATCCACAAAGTCTGAAGGTTGAATCAGAAGCAGCAGCTCTCACAGCACTCTTGGTGCTGATCTTATGCATCTTCTTCCTAGAGTCACTTCCTGGGTAGGGACAGTTTCCTCAGAAACATAAGTCCCAGAAGTACCAGCAGCTGCCTATCAAACACTTCCAATGCAATTAAAATTTTCTAGAGCTTGTCCCAAATCCATGTTATAGGCCAGGTTCTCAGCTAGCATAAATCAGCAGAGCACCCTTTAAAGCCAGTGGGAACTATCCTGAATAACATCAGCCAAGAATCTGACCTGATGTTTTTCAAGTGTTGTTGTTTGCACTGGGACCTATACAATAGTAGTCTTGCTTGACGTGTTGATGGAGATGGAAAGATATACTGTATATCCGTCTAGCTACTGGATTCACACATAAAGAGGCTTCTGTATATTTATATATATTTCATGCAAGAGGTGAAACATCTTTTATACACTAAAAGCTATGCTAGTACAACAGAAATTTATGGTACTTTGAGCTAAGAGTGTCTCCTCTTCTTGGGCCAAACTGACACTTCCTTTGGGAATCTCATTTGCTTAAACAGGTCGGATGGATCTCTCCTAATGCACTAACAGGAATTTACAACTCAGCAGACGTATATTTCTGCTCTGTAGCAATGAAAATTCTTCATTTCTGTCACTCAATTGAGATCCTGCCTGTAGATAGAATGGGATGATTTAACCCTGAAAATATGTGAATTTGGGGCATGTAGAGGTCAAGGTTGCATAATGGGTTGAAGGATTAGTGACCTATCCTTTTACCTCCAGAAACCTAAGTTCAAATCCTACATTAAGGCTCACATTCACAGCCCAGCACCTACCCTAAGTATTCAGCCTGAGGTGGGCATCTCCCACCCGAGCCTGTGGGACAGCTCTGGAAGTGTTCCATTAAAACTACTTTAGCTCAGTTTTCAAAGTAGCTCTTTGCCCTTGTAATGTGGCCCTGTTGTGTGGCCTCACATGCCCATAGATCACCCTTACTGGCACCCTCTGTGCTATTATGCAAGGAGTCCCTGCACATCTAGGATCCACAACACTTAAGGGGTGCACACCCCCATCTTTCCTCTCCTACTGCAAAATAGAGTTGCACTGGTTCCACCACCAATGGGACCTCTGCAGCGCCAAAAGGGGAGGCTGGATTTGCCCCCAGATAAAAACAAATTTGATCCTATTAACCTAGTCCATAATGGTCACTGGCTTTCATCACCAAGCCACGGCACAATCTACAATTTCTAGCCCCAAACTGTAACAATAGGTCAAACAGAAGTGCATTGGCAAAACTACATTACACAGTGTCTACTGACTCTCTCTGGTTCTAACAAATGTATAAGTTGTAAATTCTTCACTTTCATGAAATCAAATGTACAAGAAACTTAAAATAAAAGGTCCATATCCTATGATTATTTGTATTGTCCTAGCACTTAGGAGCCCTACTCGTGGACTAAATCTTTCAACCATCCCTTTTCTTTCATCAGGATAGTTCCTGGGTTACTGGATGTGATTATCTTACTCAGCTCAAACGGATTGTTGCTGTAACTGAAAGGACTGTTGTCGTCTGGGATTATAAATCACAAGGCAGCTGCCAGGTATTGTTTTGGATCATGCAAAGGTTAAAGAAAACCTAACACACTCAAGAATCCTCTGTGTTCACATCATATAGCCCTGTTCCAACTGTCTGGTACGGTGAATTCTATTGAGTGACAATGAGTTCCTGCAGAAGAGTTAGTAAATAAATAACTAAAATGGCCTTCCCTCTGCAACAAGTGACATGTTTGAGGCTTCAGGACTAGTGTACAAGTCTTCAAAAGAAGTTTAATTCAGCCTTCTTTTGGAGTAGCTTGATAGTGTGATGGATCTATTAAGCCATCTCCTATCAGCCTCCCCACTACCCATCCTCTTCCTCATGGTCTGTAGTCAGTCAATATCTGATACAGAATCCTGTAACCTACTATGTACAAGAAGTACATGATATGGTTTCAGCAGTCTGATTAGTGCTAGGAGAGAACAAGAAACAGAAGGAAAACAGCAACAAAGGTTGCAAAAAAAAGGAAGGAACAACAAAGATTGCAGACAGAAGGAATAGCAACAAAAGTTGCAAACAGAAAGAAAAAACAATAAAGGCTGCAGGATCTCATCAACATGCCACTCTTCAATGCCCCCAGAGAACTTCAGCTTTGACAGACCTTCACAATGGACACACAGAAAGCAGTATTTTGCAAGATTTTGAATTGCTACAAAGCTCCGTAGAAAACTGGAAGTTTCAGGTATCTTCTTTAATTTATGCTATGGGGAAGCAGGAAGAGTATTTCTTTAAATCCTTTGACTTTATTGAAGACCGTCACAAAGATGACTATGAAAGCGTTCTGGATATGTTTGATGGACACTTTAAATCTCAGAGAAATGTGGTTTATGAAAGAGCAAGTTTTCACCAGAGAATCCAAGAACCAGGGAGCTGTGTTGAATGTTTTATAAACGTTCTGTATCCATTGGCTGACAGCTGTGATCTTGGATTTGCAAAACATGAAAATATCAGAAACAGGCTGGTTACTGGGCTAAAAGATAAAAATCTTTAACAGCAGCTACCATTAAAAACAGACCAAACCCTATCCACAGTTGTACAGATAGCAAAGCAGTCTGAACTGGTCAAACAGCAGAACAAAAGGCAGGAGCAACTTGAAAAACCAGAAACTCCCAGCCTAAGAGGGTAAAATTCCAGTCAAACTCCAAAGCCTTTCAGTCTGCTTGCACAAGTTGTGGAAAAATTCATAGCCCAACAAATGTATGTTTCACTGGAGGTTCAGGTGTAATAAATGGACAAAATATGGTCATTTTACAGTTTGCTTCATCAGAGCAGTCAGGGAGTTGACTCATATAACAGACAATTAAGAGCCATTGTTTATGGATCTATCACATGTGATGACACAAAGCCTGCCTGGAGAGTGAAACTGAATATTCATGGAAAGCTTATAGACTTTAAAATGGACTCAGGAGCAGACATCACAGTCATCTCAGAAGGGACTTACAATCATCTTCAACCTCTCCTAGAGCTGAAGTCACCTGACACAGCTCTGACTAGCTCTGGAGGTATTCTGAACTGCATGGGCCAGTTCATCACAGAAACAACCTACAAAGACAAAAGCTTTGCATTCAGAATGTATGTTATCAAAGGATCACACACTAACAGCTTTCATTATTGTTTATGAAAACTACAGCTCCATTTGTGTTCCTTTACAGTTCTCCCATGTGTCTTTGGAAAAATCTGTAGTTGTAATGAACAATATTTTGATATATGGGTCTTCGATGGAAGAACACAACAGAGCCCTTAACAAAGTTCTAACCTAATCAATCAGTTCAGACTGAAGCTAAATAATGAAAAGTGTGTTTTCTGCCTACCCCAAATGAAGTTTTTGGTTCAGAGAATAAACAAAGATGGAATGAGTCCTAGCTCTGAGAAAGTAAAAGAAGTTCGAGAATTGAATGCACCAACTAATGTATCAGAACTTAGATATGTACTTAGTTGGTTTTGGTCCTGCTTTGAGCAGGGGATTGGACCTTGATGACCTCCTGAGGTCTCCTCCAACCCTAATATTCTATAATTCTATGATGCAAATTGCCTTGGTCAATATCTACAAGACCTTTCTATAGAGACAAAACCATGGAATGAACTATTAAAGTCCTACACATCTTGAGTATGGGTGTCAAATCAAGAAATTGCCTTCAAAAAGGTAAAAGAAATTATCTCAAAAGTATCAGTTCTCAAGTCCTATGATGTGAACAAACTCACAATGGTCAGTTATGTCCTAAGTGTTGTATTGTTTTAACAACATAGCTCTGAATGGAAGCCAGCTGCATTTTGCTCTCTCACACTCACAGAAGGTAGGCATAGCAAGTACATATTCTATTGAATACAAAAGTAAGTGAGGCAATAAAGTCAATGAACAGTAGAATCCAGATGATTCAAAATCCCACTACAGAACCTGCCCCAAGTCTAACAGGCTGCCAGCATGTCTCCCACTTCTGTTGGTCCCTGTCACTTGACTTCTAATACTATACCAGTCCACATTTTTCCTGCACAAAGAAACAACAAGTTTTTAAACAAACAAGATCCTAATTCACAATATACTGGCACACCATTTAACATGATGAATTCTCCTGTTATATTTATTGTTAATATTTCCTAACCCAAACACAACAAAATATCTTTAATACTCTGGGTGAAATCCAAGCTCTGGTGAAGTCCATAGCAAAACTCCCATTGATTTACCAGCTGCATGAGTCTATGGTATCACAAAACAGCTGGAATGGAAGATTTTGAAAACCCTGAGACAAGCATTAGATGTTGATATAAATGGATGAGCATGGTAGAGACTATGCTCAGTTGATTTTGGGCTCATGTGCGGTATCAAATAAACTCTTTACTGTATTTCACAGGATAATTGCTTTATCATCAAACCAATGGAACATTGTCTGCTGTGTGTTTGTACGGTGAATTTAGGAGATCAGCTAGCTAAGGATGACATCCTAATGGGAGATGATGGGGGTCATGTCAACCTTTTTACAGTGACCAGCGATGACTTTGGACTAAAGCAATCGAAAGCCAAAAAGAAATCACAATTGCAGATCCTGGACTCCAGGAAATTCAAGAAGTAAGTTGTTTGTAGTAAAATACTATCACTTTAGCAGTTTTCATCAAATAATTAAACTCTAGTTCTCTATGATCTGTGCTTCTAAAAGTGCTTAAAAATGGACCTTCCCTAACATAAGAATGAAAATAGCTTTTAAAACAACGAGCCTGATTTTCTAGCTGTTGTGTGACAGCAACTCCACTGTTTTCAATGGGAGATCTGCACACAGAGCCGCTACAGAATAAGAACCAATGGGCCCAGTTCACCACTACTTTAGTCCAGTTTTACCCTGGTGTAACTATTGTCCTCTATTAGATGGAATCAGAACTATTTAGCTGTGTGTCGCAGGCCCTACTCTGTCTCCATATTAAAGAAATATGTCATTATGTCCAGTATTCGATGCCTGTGGCTTTGGAGATGGTGGATCTAAGGCAGTGGTGGGCAACCTGTGGTCTGCAGGCTGCACGCAGCCCATCAGGGTAATCCACTGGCGGTCCGCGAGACAGTTTGTTTACATTGGCATGGCTGCCTGCAGCTCCCAGTGGCCACGGGTTCGCTGTTCCCGGCCAATGGGATTACCCTGACAGGCCGCATGCGCCCGCGGGCCGCAGGTTGCCCACCACTGATCTAAGTATCTCACCTCTCTTGCTATGAATTGCAAGTGTTCATTGTGTGCACTTTTAATGACAACCTGGAAGTCCTTATTATTATCACACACACACATATATTATACAATAACCACCTACTTTTTCTCCCCAGTATTAAACGAAAACTCCATGATGACTGGGTTGTGAAGGTTAAGTTTATCTCTGCCCTGAATTGTTTTGGATCCTGCTCCTTAGACAGTGTTCATTCGTTCGTTTTGGATGACTTAAAGAGACTAGAGGACAACTTGTAAGTAGAGCCATGCATGTCATAGTGGAACACAAACTCTTCATTGAAAGAGCCACATGGGAGATTAGTACATTTCAAAATTCTACAATTACAGTAGCTATGTCTTTTGTAAAAGATGGCTAATTAAAACTAAGACATAATTGGAATTAGTCATGCAAAGCTCTACAGAATGAGCCCTCATAAAAGTATATTGGTTTTTGCTCATTAACTTTTAAATGCCAAGGACTGTCCATATGTTATTTTCTCTCACATAACCTTTACAAATAAATTTTGTTAGCAAGGTCTGTCTGCTTTGGGTTTTCATCAGTAGGCACATTTACCAAGCAAACAAAACAACTGGATGATTTTATCTGAACTGCTGTAATAACTTATTTTGAAGAATAATGCACATTGCTTTCCTACTTTTCTACATAAATTCAAATATATTGCACATGAATTCATTTGCTCATGATGAAAATGCATATATGAATATATGAAAAATAGATAAGGAATTAAATATTTTTGGTAGTGGTGTTTAACATGTAATTGAACTTATTAAAGAACATCACTAATGATGCTATAAAAGTCATGGTTAAATTGGCTCTGCTACTTAGATTTATATCAGATTGTGATTTTGGGGAAAGTGAGTTATCACAAAATGTAAGAAATGAAATAATATGGACATACTAAATTTGACATGAATAGAAACTATAAATAATGCTTTTCATTCAAGGATCTCTGAACATTAGATCCGCTCACACCCTCTTTGTCAGGTAGAATTTTAAGGGCAGAAGTGAGAATTATGATCATATCGTTTCACTCATTGCATAACACAGGCCATATTCCCAGTAATTCCTGCATCAAGCCCATAACTTCTGGTTTTATGGGTATTCTGTGTATTTTTTTAGATGACAGAAGGTAAAATTGACCAAGGTCACTCACTGGGTCAGTAGCAGGGCCTGGAAATGCTATTTGAAGGTGTTCAGAGTTTTAGAAAGTTGAAAACAATCCCAAGAAAGATGAGGAGGGGGAGAGAGAAAGTGTCAAAAATACAGTGGGAGGTGCATGCACCACCACTGTATACTGTGTTATATATCATTTCAATGCAAAGGTTCCTTTGGGGTTTTTTTTGCATTAAACATTTATTGTACATGTGTCTCCAGTTGTTGGAAGATGTACATTTCCCTAAGGAGCTTCAGACAAGAGCTAGATGAAATTATATTTAGACATTTGCAGAATACACAAATGTTCAAATGAAATTTGTAACCCTAAAAATAGAAATATATTAAATGACCATTCTGTATAAGTGATTGTGGCTCAAACATTTAATTACATGATGCAAAAAAAATGACTATCCCAATTAACTATGGAACCACTCTTGCTGTTTGGTTTGGGAAGAAAGCTTGGTGATCAGTGTAGTTTTTAGTTATCCTAATCCTTACGGAACTGTGCCGTTTCTAGGTGGCTAATGCCTGGAAAGGGATTGTCTTCTTTCTTTACAAAGAGGCTAAGAAGGGGAATGTGTGGCAGGGATCAGAGAGGGTGTCTGGTTGCAAGGATGTGGGATAGGTCTGGACTCATATCTGGAGTGAATGTTACCAGCCTTCCTGTTGCAGGCCATCCTCATTCCTGTAGGAGAAGGTTGGAATCACTCCTTGAAGGATCAAGTAAGGATTATATAAAAAACCTCTCCATTTTAAGAATTAAAAAAGAAATGGCAAAATCCTAAAATAAACTACTTGAAGCTCACATAAGGAGTTGTTTGCTATTTTACTCCATAACCAAGCATTCAGATTCTTTTAATCCTGTAGTGAGTTCCACACAGTCGCATGGAATCTGACTGCTCAGAGCTTACTGCAGCATTAGGGATTTAGAGTTTATTACTACACCCAGACTCTTGTCTGCTCCTGTGTTATCGGTGACACTACCTAATCTGTACTGAAAAAAGTCTCTCTTGGCTGTTTGACTTAACCATTTTTATAGGAAGTTGCCTCATGCAAAGAATTCAATTCTTCCTTTCTATTACCAAAAACCAACCAGTCACCCAAAATATATCTCCCAAAACCTCTTGTGCTGCATACAGTATGGTATTGCCACCCTCACTTCTGCGGTGCTGATGGGGGGCGCTGCCGTCAGAGCTGGGTGCCCAGTCAACAGCTGCTGCTCTCCAGCTGCCTAGATCTGAAGGCAGCGCAGAAGTAAGGGTGGCAATACCATGACCTCCCTAAAATAAGCTTGTGACCCCCTGTAACTCCCTTTTGGGTACAATTTGAGAATTCTCCATGAAATCTGGATATTATAGGGTAAAAGCACACAAAAGACCAGATTTCATGGGGGGAGACTAGATTTCATGGTCCGTGACGCGTTTTTCATGGCCCTGAATTTGATAGGGCCCTACATGTTGACCTATGTACACTCTGGGCATATTGGCAATAACCAGTATTTCCTGCCATTCATTTCCACACCTTAAATAGGTATTTGTTGGATTCAGGTTTTTAAGAAAACATTCAGACTGTAGCAATCTGCATGGAATTTGGAGGGAGGAGTTTGGAGGAGACACAATGAAGTCAGTCTGTGTGTACATGGCTGGAATGCTAACTACAGTTGCATTACCTCTAAAAAGTTCTCTTAATAAAGAGCTAGTTTAGTTTTGGAAACATGAAATCTTCGCATGTTATTACCGAGCATGTAATACAAGCAACATAGCCCATAAACCAGTTGTATCAAAGTAGCACTAGAGAGGCTGCACTGGATTTGTGTAAAATTGAGGCTGTCACTGCCATCCTAGTTTCTAATATAGAAAGAGCCACTAGTTGTAGAATTCAGTACTCCATCTTGAATTTGACTGGAATATGCTTGATCAAGATGAAGCATGTTTCCTGGGACCTATAGTCTCCAATGATTTTACAAGTATATAAAAAATTAGTTTGACTATGGCTGCAATTTAGGGTGCTATTGCAAGGGAATGAGGTACCTTTGCTACAGGCTTATATTGCTTCAGCTATTCAAGATAAGAAACCATGCTATTTGCAGCTAACCTGGTCCAGTTTTATTGCAAATGCTAGTTACTGAATTTAAACAACTGTATGAATCAATTTCCTTTTAATATGGTACTGCCTATGTTATATATAGAAATACTTTAGTATTGTGAAAATAACCAGTTAAACATGGTATAATACTATCTGTTTGTTTTGGCCAAGAGTGTCCAGCACAGGTAGTCCCTCCTTCCCATCCATACTGATTTTTGTGCCATCAGTTCAACCTGTGTGTCTGGCTAAAACAGCCCTTGCCAACCCCCACGGAGTATTAAGTCTTCAGGAAAACAGATTGGAATTGCTATAGACTCTACTTTGACCAAAATTTCCTACCTGATCAAATGACTTGTTAATCATTACAGACCTGTCAGGGAGTTTTCTGTCCCAAGAGGAGTTAATGCCTTCACATACTGTGGAAAAGCAAATATCATTGTTACTGGAGGTAAGTAAAATGTTTATATTATATATGAAGACCCAGTAATGTTTGTCAGTGTTTTCTGCCAAAAAGATTCATTGGTTGTATTTTTTCACTAAATAAACTCCAATAATAATAATAATTTAACAGGCTGGTAATTATAATATTTACTTAAATTGTAAATTCCTGGAGACAGGGACTGTGTTATATGTGTGTACAGTGCCTAGCGCAATGCGGCCATTGTCCCTGATTAGAGCCTGATTAGCAAAGTGGTGAGTGCTCAGTCTGGATTTGATTCACACATTGCTTCCTATGTCTTTAATAAAAGAGGAGAGACCAGGTTTGGGAATACATAAAATGACCCAGCCACCTCTCCTAACTGCAACACTGTTTCCTTACCTTCTCCCACCCACTGTCCCTTATGAGTTATGACCTCAGGATTGCATCTTCACCCTTCCACAGTGACTTCTCTCCTGCTGACCTGAGAAATGCTCCCTAACCTGTTCTTAATGGTTACCTCTTACCACCCTTTCTGACCCAAGAACTATTGGCTTCAATCAGTGGTGTGACTCCCCCCGTTTCTTACTAATCTCTATGTTCCTTAAAGAAGGCTGCAGGACTGATGCACTGTCCAGTCCATTTCTTTCCCAGTGGTCAACCATATTTTACATTGCTGTTTCACTGCCTAGAACTACTACTCCCACTGTGCTCTGTCTGCCACTCCTCCTTCCAGACCCCATCTGTTTCATCCCACTGTGGTTCCCTATCTCTCTCCTGTCCGGCTTTCTCAGTTTTAAGGTTAAGCTCTGTAGGGTGTGCCTATATGATGAAAAAAGGTGTTTTTTTTTAAATCAGTTTAGCTTAATCAAGTTAATTAAACACAATTGGAAACACTGCCACAACACCTGTGTAGATAGTTTGACACCTTTACAATCATGTTAGCTGGTTGTTTTGTAGCATTAACACTCAAGCCTATGTTGGTGTTAAGGGGCATTTGCAACTGTGTTAAGATAACTTCAGTGCAGGGGAAAACACCCTTCTTATCATGTGGACAGGGCCTAAGGCCTGGTCTACACTTTAAGAGTTGTACTGGTATAACTATTTTGGTTAGCAGTGTGACTTTTTTTGTTAATTATCAAAATACTTGTATTGGTGAAAGTCCTAGTGTGGACACAGTTTGGTACAAAGGTGACTTATACCGGTATAGTTATTTCCCTTCTCATAGGTGAATAGCTCTTTCTACCAATATAATTGGATCCACACTAGAGGGGATTGTACCCCTTTAACTGTATTGGTATTGTTAAAGCAGTACAGTGTTCTAGTGTAGACAAGGCCTAAGTGCTTGCAGGATCAGAGCCTACGTACTTTTCACATTTACAGATATTATTTGATTAATTATGCTGATAGTTGATCAGAAATTGTATTTAATGATGTGTTTTATTCAATTGTTATGGTTTAGTTAGATTTTTGTTACAGTATTGTGAGTTATAACTGATCATTTTAAACTGGTAATTGTTTATTTATATGAGATGAATAATGGATATCAGCTGATGTTACAGATTGCATGATGTTTGGCTTTTGTCCAAGTCCTGAAACTCTGGTATCAATGAGGCTCTTCCTCCTCAAAGGAAAGGACACTTTTTAGGCTCTAATGAAGACCCTGTGTTGAAATGTTAGCCACAGTTGGCTGATTAAATAGTTACTGTTTCATTCACAAAGAGTGAAGGGGAATGCAATCTAAGTTGAACAAGTGGAACTTTATTAAACCCTGTGAACTGTTCTGGCCATATGGCATAGTTGCTTCAGGCTAACTTCCCTATTCCTGTTGGTGTCCTGTTAATAACTGTACCTCCCAGGAACACTGGCACCCTACCTCCCCTTCCAATGACCATGATACAGTTAAATGATACAAATATTTTATAATTTTGATTTTGCAATCTTCACTTCCTAGATAGAAGAGTTTATTTTTGTACAAAAAGGTACAGAAAACCTGGAAGGCACAACAAAAGGATTAATCCTTTTATGTGTCCCCCAAAGGCTCTAGAGTCATGACTTTAGAGAAGTATAAAACTTCTGTTTTTTAAATTTAGTTTGGGTAACTTTCCAGTGCTATATGCCCTTGGATCTACACAGATTGGCTTCTAGATGGATATAGTACCATAGCAACTTCCTTCCCCAGCTAGCTCTTTGACATCCAAATCTTGAACAATGCAATATTAAAATTCTTTACCCAACTTATTACATTGAGTTAAATGTCTAACCCTTCAGCCTTTGAGGGATCCGTCTTCAAACAGGTGTATCAGGATACAGGCATCTGACTCGCGTTAGTTGGACACACCTACCACTTAAAAAGTTTAACCCTAGAATTCACAGCTCTTTAGGACAGTACAGTGAGCACAATAGGCACAACATGTGCTAGGATTTCCATACAGTATGACTGGCATTGTATCTTACGGCTAGTCTACACTAGAAGCATTACATTGGCACAGCTGCAGCAATGCAATCTCAAAGCACTGTACAGACATTTTAAATCACGTAAGGCAGACACCTTTTGAGAGAAGAGTATCAGTAGAAGGATAAACAATGCAATGCAAACTGAACAACAGTGTAGGGGAGGGAGATATTTTGGCCAAGGACACTGGGCCTAACTAAGGCTACGTCTACACTACACAGCTTTTAGCAACATGGGTGTGTTGCCACAGCCGTGCCCCTAAAAGTTGCACCATGTAGCCACTGTTTGTTGGCTCTCCTGCTGACAAAAAACTTCCACCCCCAATGAGTGGCGTTTGCTTTGTCAGCAGGAGAGCGCTCCTGCCAACTATGTGCTGTTCACACTGGCACTTGTCACACCAAAGCTTTTGTCTGCTGGGGGGAGCGGCGGTTAACACTTCTGAAAGACAAAAGTTTTGTCATTCAATTTCCAGTCTAGACATAGTTTAAAAGTATCGGGGGATCTTGAACATCCACCTAGAGCAGACAGCTCTGTTTTTAAGGTCTCATCAATGAAAGCCACACTCTCCTTTATTTCATTTATCTTGGAAGTGTGAAGAGCTGAACTGAACCTACTGGGATACAAACCACTGGTTCCATGGAGTCTAGGTATATCCAAGCTAATGTTTGGCTATCTGATCCATCCCCTCCCAGCTCATCTTTTCTTATGAATGAGCTTAATTCCCGTGCATTTCATGTCAGGGTATTTGATCCTAGAAGCATAATTGGACCATTGAGAGACCTAATCGTTCTTCCCAGTGTCCTGGTGAGCTTCTATAATTCTGCTGTAGCAGTGGGGTTAGCAAGTATCTCTTCAGTGCCAGGGATCAGTAGAGCAGTAGTTCATGAAAAGGGGAGAGAACAACCTAAAAATCAATCTTATTATTTAACATAAGCAACAAAAAAGAATTAAAACTATTTGACCAATTGAAAATAGCAATAAACAAAACCCCTTGCACTTAAGCAAACACAACAAAATGGAATGGATTTTATTGATAGGCTTTTCTGTGGCACCTGCTCTTCATGGTAATACCAGAGTGCATAATAGACATTAATGATTTTAGCCTCATGCAACTCTCTGTGTTAGGGGCCCTGGATACACATAGCACTTCCTCCTCCCTGCCATTTGTCTGCTGCCACTGTCAGAGCAGAGGTGTTAAAAAGCCCCATTCCTGTTCATCTTCAGAAATGTAATGGGAGGGGCAGTCTTCCTGCTCAGAGACAGTCTGCTGTTCCCCATCCACTGTCACTTGAAGCATTATTTTTTCCATACTGAACTCCTAAGGTAGACACAATTAGGGTGCTCTTTGCTCCTGTGACACCTGATCTACTGTCCCTCTCACTGAAGGCTGCTATCAGCCAGAGTCCCTCCCTCCTGTACTCCTCCTGCAATGTACAGGCTGAGTGCTGCGCTCCTGAACACAGTATAAACAAGGACTCTTGTTACTCTATGGCAAGATGGATCTAAAACCTACAGCAAAGTCCCTGGTGCTACAGCCAACTGGGACTTCAGGTGCTGAACTCATTAAACTCAAAAATGGAAGTTTTAAGGCACTCAAATACAAGCAGTTCACTCTCTAGGGAAGGCTGGTCTTGTAGGTAGGTACTGGTTTAGTACTTAGGAACAGTGGGTTCAAATCCCATCTCTGCTACTGACTGTCTGTATGACCTGGGGTCTAATAAGGGATGTATTTTTCAAAAGAACTATTAAATTAACTAAAAGGATGTATTGGCTAATTTCTCTGAAGCTTGGCAAAGAGGGAGCGTAAGGCACAAATGGCAACTATTTGCTCAACTCCCAATAGCCATCAGTGGGAGAGGGGCACCTAACAGCCATTTGTGCTTTTGAAAGTCTCCTCAAATGCTGTAAGTTGTTCGCTAATTCCCACTGAGAACAACGGGCACTTCTGGGCACTTCATGTGCCTAATGGGAGCTGAGCTTTCTTTAAAATCTGGCACCAGCTGCAGATGCTGAGCACTTTGGAAAATTTAGTCTCTCTCTGCCTCTGTTTCCCATCTGTAAAATGGGCAGCACATTTATTTCTCCAACCCATTGTCTGCCTTGTCTATTTAGATTGTGAGCACTTTGGGGTAGGAATTTATGTGTGAGTGGCCAAAACCTAATATGATGGGACCCTAGTCTAGGTTGGGGTTTCTAGGCACTACCATAATACAAATAATAATTTGTGGTGTTTTGATATTCAGATCCATTTATTTTATAGTGCTCTCAGATTCCCAATATACTGCAAATGTTGGTATTGCAGTCACATAGCTCCAGCAGAGACGTCACCCTGGAAGAGAAGCTGGGGTTTTGGCAGATGTGTGGGGGATAGATGCAGATGTTCAAAAACATGAGGAGGGTGACATTGGTACTAGGGAGTAGTGGCATCTCCTCTTTCCATCCCCATTGGGTGCGGGAGGGGAGAGAGAGAGACCAGTTTAAATTCAGTGGTGAGGATTGACTTTCTCCCCAGCAACCCTTGAAAACAGCTAGCTGCCCCACTGCACTCTGTATCAATGTGTCACTGCATCAACAATAATGGATAAACCCAATAGCTTGATGAGTATCAGAGGGGTAGCTGTGTTAATCTGAATCTGTAAAAAGCAACAGAGGGTCCTGTGGCACCTTTAAGACTAACAGAAGTATTGGAGCATAAGCTTTCGTGGGTGAATGTCCACTTCATCAGACGCAAGTAATGGAAATTTCCAGAGGCAGGTATAGATCAGTATGGAGATAACGAGGTTAGTTCAATTAGGGAGGGTGAGGTGCTCTGCTAGCAGTTGAGGTGAGAACACCAAGGGAGGAGAAACTGTTTCTTTGGTTGGATAGCCATTCACAGTCTTTGTTTAATCCTGATCTGATGGTGTCAAATTTGCAAATGAACTGGAGCTCAGCAGTTTCTCTTTGGAGTCTGGTCCTGAAGTTTTTTTGCTGTAAGATGGCTACCTTTACATCTGCTATTGTGTGGCCAGGGAGGTTGAAGTGTTTTCCTACAGATTTTTGTATATTGCCATTCCTGATATCTGACTTGTGTCCATTTATCCTCTTGCGTAGTGACTATCCACTTTGGCCAATGTACATAGCAGAGGGGCATTGCTGGCACATGATGGCATATATAACATTGGTGGACGTGCAGCTTAGATGTGCACCAATAGCTTATTGGATGTGCACCAATAGCTTGATGTTTCTGATAACACAACTAGTAGTGAAATAGCTAACATGGACTTGTGAACGGTTGTCTTTGGGCTTCAGAGCTATCCCATTGAGATTAATGGGATCAGTTCCTTCTGCTCTGAGACCTTTTGTTTCAGGCTATTTGCACTCTGAGTCAGACATCCCTGCATTGGCTTATTCTTGGTTCACATTTTGTGCCTATAGATGAGAGACTTAACTTCTCAAAAATGAAATCCTAGATTGTGGAGCACAGCTATGTGGTGACTTAAAGGAAAAGGGGCAATTACAGTCATTTGTGTGACCACATCATTGTATTATATACCAGTGGCTAGTGACAGTTAAGATCTGATGGTTCCCTGATGAACCAGAAAAATGAGCAGACTTACCCCTTCATGTGTCTCCTAACTGGACTTACGAATATAATGATAAATACTGCTTTCCACATGCACAGTGCCTTTTATCTGAAAATCATTTTACAAAGTTACATTATCTTCTCCATTTTAACAGATGCCCTCCCTTGGCCTTGTTTTCCTTACCCAAAATTACACATTAACCAAGTCAAGAACTGATCTCTGGTCTCCTCTCTCCTCCTCTATCTTTTAGATAGAGTCCCCGCTCTATCTAAAAGGCAGTGAAAGACTGGACCAGTATGATGTAACAAACCCATACTGGCCTAATTTAAGCTCTGAGAAGCCACAGTTGAAACACAGCTGATTCATTACCAAATGACAGTATTTTTTTTGTTTCCCTTTTGATTTCTTATGGGCCAGAATATCTGTCTTCAGTGATTGGCATTTTATTGGGTTCCATCTGCTAGGAGACATACATATTTTCCCCCAAACTTTAAACCATCTTAACTTTAAAACTGTGTGTCTTCTCATCCAGATTGTTTTGTATAATTTAGCAATTTGGTGAATTACCGGTATTTCAAACAATGCCAAAATGAATGCACTGGAATACTCCAAAAGACCAGTTACTATATTTTTATAGGCTGACAGTGGTTGCTACCTGGTTAAGTGTTGGTCCAGCTGTGAAAGGTTTACATGAATTCTGTTGACTCACTGAGGCAGATGACTTATTGCCCCACCTGGGTATAAAAGAGCAATGGCGTCCTCCTCTCTGAGGAGAGAATGAAGTGGTCCTCAGGGAAGAACTCTGAGAAGATTTGAGTTGACATATCTTTTTGTTTTCTTTGTTAATAGAACTAAATTCAGGCAGAGGGTGAGTCTGGGTTGTTGCTCTGTATAGAGTGTTTGTATAGCAGGTTGGGAGAGGCACTAGCTTATACTCTGAATGGCCCAGGTCTAAAGGACAATACATCTGTGCAGTCTCTTCCTAAAAAGCTTTAAGATTATACTTCTCAAAGTAAATAACAAATAAAGTTGTGTGAAAGTTGGCTGACTTGGTTCTGAGGGTTGTGTGAATGTCCTCCAGTTTTGATCCATGTGTTCTTACTCTCTGAGTTCTGCTTCAAGTTTGGAGCAACTCAAAGTAAAGCTTAATGATAACTATCAGGTTTTAACTGGTTTAGTGTCTTAAGCTATGCAGGAGGGGCTAAGTTGATTTTTATATGGTGCTAAAGGCTTCTCAGTATTTAACTGTTAATAAAGCCATAAATCTGGCATGATTTTGATGCCACACCATAAATATGTTAATGTCTGTTTGAAATTGGGCCCAGGTTCCCTTTAAAGGCTTGTGAAAAATAGCAAACTTTTCAACTTAGCTGGTTTAAGCATTGGGGTTTGTATTGGAGCCAAAATCCAGGTGTGCTGCTGTTGCTTTGGGTTTTGCTGGAAATGTTTGAAATAATTAGCAGCAAAAAACTACTATATAATAAGAGGACCAAATTTCAAAAGTGGCTTCCTAAATTGTGTGTAAACATCACATTTGCACAGATGGGTACAAAAGGCTTGATTCTTATTTACACCTTTATACCACTTTGGCAACATTAAAGGGCCTTAAAGAGTGAGTTAAGTACACTTTAAGCAGTGTAAAGGTGTCTAGAGGCAACTGAGCATCAAGCCCTTGATATGAAAAATACAAAGATTTAAGCAGGATTTGTGTTTGCAGTCCTGGCAGCCATCTTTTGTAAAACTAGGCTATCTATTCAGAATCTATTTTGTGATAGTCTGCATGTTAGAGACACAGAATGGGTCACAGATATTTTCTGTTCACAGGTGATGATAAAGTTCTACGTTTATGGCATCCCAATATAAACACCAAGCCAGTGGGCAAGTTGTTGGGACACTTATTTAGTGTCATGGAGATTGTCACAAATGAAAAAGATCAGCACATTATTAGCCTTTCCACTGCGAAGGTAAAGTACTGTCCCTTAACTTCATGAGAACCACTGTCATGGTATAGTTACTTGTATAGTTAGTTAGACTTTAAGTTATCTCTGCAGATGGTATTAGGTTTTAATTGTTATCACATTTTTATTAGAGTATTTCACACTGTACACAATACACTAAACTCTTATACATGGTTCATAAAGGATTTTCCTGCAATGAAATAAGTATTGTTTTTAAAAAAATATTCAAATTATTTTATACTATGAACCAAGGCTGCAGGAGTCCCGGTGCCTCTTGTGGGACTCCGGGAAATAGTCGCTGGGAATTTAACATGCTTAACTAACTTAATTCTGTTCTTTAACAGTTATCAGACACACAGATGACCATGATTGGAAGAGTCAACATGGTTTTTGTAAAGGGAAATCATGCCTCACTAATCTATTAGAATTATTTGAGGGGAGTTGACAAGAATGTGGACAAGGAGGATCCAGTGGATATAGTGAACTTAGATTTTTCAGAAAGCCTTTGACAAGGTCCCTCATCACAGGCTCTTAAGCAAAGGAAGGAGTCATGGGATAAAAGGGAAGGTCCTCTCATGGATCAGTAACTGATTAAAAGATAGGAAACAAAAGGGAGGAATAAATGCATGCAGATCCGGTCACCCCATCTCAAAAAAGATGTATTGGAATTGGAAAAGATACAGAGAAGGCAATAAAAATGATTAGGGGTATAGAACAGCTTACATATGAGGAGAGGTTTAAAAGGCTGGAACTTTTCAGCTTAGGAAAGAGACGACTAAGGGGGCGGGAATATGACAGAGGTCTATTAAAATCATGACTGGTGTGGAGAAGTAAAAAAGGAAATGCTATTTACGCCTTCTCATAATACAAGAACTAGGGGTCACCAAATGAAATGACTAGTCAGCAGGCTTAAAACAAACAAAAGAAAGTACTGTATATACTCGTTCATAAGCTGATTTTTTTTTAGTAAAATAGGGAAG